GCGCCCATCAAAGTACACTTTAAAAACATAGGTTTGGTGACACTTGGGAACCGTAATCCAGAGGAAGTCTCGAGCAGGAGACGCGTCGGTGAGTGAATGCTGGGAACTTCTCGAGCGGGGGGCCCTCCTTATGGGGCCCACGGATCATGTTGGTAATCCGAGGCGGCCATTTGAATGTTATTCTCATGTTAGGTTTGGTGGCACCAGGTAGCCCGAATCATTTGGAGGTCTCGAGCGAGAGCCTCGTCGGTGAGTGTACTGCGAGGGAGTGTCGAGCGGGGGGGCCCTCCCTATGGGGCCCGCGGGTCAGGTTGGCAATCCGAGTCGGCCATCGGAATGCCATGTAATCATTTCGACAGCAGGGCCCCGCTTGACAATCTCCCCAACTAATCTAGGAGTAACCCTCCTCGTCTTCCTTGTGACTACGGAGGCTCTCTTCCTGTTTGGTACCTGCTGGCCCTTGCCGACGCCTGCAAGCTTGGTTGAGGATGACCGCTTCGGAGTACCGAAAGGCGCCCGACAAAGGATCGAGACTCCCGCTCGAGATTCTCTGAAGCTTCAGACTCCCAGCTTGCACAGGGAATCTTGGCGGCCGCCTCGGATGAATAACATAACGCGGGGGGCCGTGGGGTGGGGCTCCCGCTCGAAGCCTCCTCGTGATTCACTCAGAGGCGAGCGCCCGAGACACCATCTCAATGTGCTCAGGAACGAGGTTCCCATTCGATACGTCCTCGGGGTTCAGGCCCCCCAGTATCCCGACGGCCGCCTCGGATTACCAACGTGTGGTGGACGCCCCACAGGAAGATCTAGCTCAAGACGGCCTCGCAAATCTCTCACAGACGAGGCCCCCGTCAGAGACATCTTCCAGCCTGCTCACGAACGAGGCTTCCTCTCGATGGCCGCCTCGGATTACAAACAGCCCCTCCTTATTGGGGCGCGCAGATCATGTTGGTCATCCGAGGCGGCCACGTGAACAGCATATAAAACACAGGTTTGGTGACACTCGGATGCCTGAATCCTGGGGAGGTCTCGAGCGGGAGCCTCGTCGGTGAGTGCATGGCGAGGAAGTCTGGAGCGGGAGCCCCCTCCCCACGGGGCCCACGAAAGTTTCGAGGGGGACTCCCGTCCCGATGGGGCTCGCGGATCATGCTAGTTTTCCGAGGCGGCCACCGGAATGCCATGCACAATCGCATGGTTGATGACACCTGACAGCCTGAATCCCGAGGAAGTCTCGAGCGGGAGCCTCGTCGGTGAGTGAATTGCGAGGACGTCTCGAGGGGCGGGGGGCCCTCCCGATGGGGCTCGCAGATCATGCTGGTAATCCGAGGCGGCCATCAGACTGCCATGTAAAAGCACAGATTTGGTGACACCTGGGAGCCTGAATCCTGAGAAGGTCTAATGCGGGAGCCTCGTCCCTGAGCAAGGTGACAGGATGTCTCAGGCGGGAGCCTCATCTGGGAGCGAATCGAGACGAACTCTCGAGCGGGACCCCCCCCCCTATGCGGTCCCCACTCCACGTTGGTAAGCCGATGCGGCCACCGGGACATCATGCAATTAGCCTGGCAAAGAAGCCAACCATATGCAGTTGTGAGCACCGTCGTTGTATGCACCGCATCCGGAGGTGCTCCCTATAAGGCCACGAAGCGTGTGAGGAGTGTGCGAAATTTTAGCCGGTGGGCGCATGCGAAAGCAGTCACTGGGGGCGTCGGTGGAACTCCCTCCTATGGGGCCACGAAGCCCGTGAGAGGTGTGCCGGCATAGGTGGGGTGTCAGTCAGTCAAGCCTGGCGCACAGACGGCGCATTGGCAAGATAAAAAGTTATGCGCGTGGCAGAGATATGCCGGCAGTGAGAAGGATACGAATTCACCTGCAAACGTATCGGCGCCACGCGGGAGGAGGGGGAGGAAGGGAGGGGGCGGAAGGAGGAGGCAACGAAGAAGGGGGGAGGGACCACCTCAGGACCACTGTTGTGGCAGAAGCTTGTAAACACACGAAGCCCACTGTTGCTTCGGTCTGCCTCTCTTCCGGCATTGGTCCCAGACCCGAGGTAAATATGATCCGGGCTTGCAGGAGAGAACTCGCAGCGGGTGGTCTTGAGAACCCTGCGATCTTGTTGTATAGGTGGGGTGGGCGCATGCGAACGCAGCCACTGGTGCCGTCGGTGGAGCTCCCTGTAGGGCCACGAAGCGTGTGAGGGGTGTGCCGACATGGGTGCGGTGGGCGCATGCGAACGCAGCCGTTGGCGCATTCGATGGAGCTCCCTCCGGGGCCACGAAACGCGTGAAGGGTGTGCCAGAATGTGCGTGGGTGACGCATGCGGGCGGCGGCACCAGGGCCTTCGTTGAAGCTCCCAATGGGGCCACGAAACGTGTGAGGGGTGTGCCGAAATTGGTGTGGGTGACGCATGCGGGCGGTGGCACTGGGGCCTTCGGTGGAGCTCCCTATGGGGCCACGAGACGCCTGAGGAGTGTGTCGGAATGGGCGTGGGGGACGCATGCGGGCGGTGGCACCGGGGCCTTCATTGGAGCTCCCTATGGGTCCACGAAACGTTTGAGGTGTGTGCCGAAATTTGTGTGGGTGACGCATGCGGACAGTGGCACTGGGGCCTTCGGTGGAGCTCCCTATGGGGCCACGCAGCGTGTGAGAAGTGTGCCGAAATGGATGTGGGGGACGCATGCGGGCGGTGGCACTGGGGCCTTCTGTGGAGCTCCCTATGGGGACACGTGAGGAGTGTGCTGGAATGGGTGTGGGGAACGCATGCGGGCGGTGGCACTGGGGCCTTCGGTGGAGCTCTTTATGGGGCCACGAGACGTGTGAGGGGTGTGCTGGAATGGGCGTGGGTGACGCATGCGGGCGGTGGCACTGGGGCCTTCGGTGGAGCTCCCTATGGGGCCACGAAACGTGTGAGGGGTGTGCCAAAATGGATGTGGGGGACGCATGCGGGCGGTGGCACTAGGGCCTTCGGTGGAGCTCCCTATGGGGCCACGAAGCGTGTGAGAAGTGTGCCGACATGGGTGTGGTGGGCGCATGCGAGTGGTGGGCCTTCGGTGGAGCTCTCTATGGGGCCACGAGACGCGTGAGGGGTGTGCCAGAATGGGCGTGGGGGACGCATGCGGGCGGTGGCACCGGGGCCTTCGTTGGAGCTCCCTATGGGGACACGAAACGTGTGAGGGGTGTGCCGAAATTGGTTGGTGACGCATGCGGGCAGTGGCACTGGGGCCTTCGGTGGAGCTCTCTATGGGGCCACGAGACGTTTCAGGGGTGTGCCAAAATGGGTGTGGGGGACGCGTGCGGGCGGTGGCTATGGGGCCACGAAACGCGTGAGGGTTGTGTTCCGCAATTGGGTGCGGGGGACGCATGCGGGCGGTGGCACTGGGGCCTTCGGTGGAGCTCCCTATGGGGCCACGAAGCACTGTATTGGGTGGGTGAAACGCAGGGAGGAAGGAGGAGGAGGAGGAGGAGGAGGAGGGAGAAGGAACGCGGGGACCATCTCTTCAAAACGAGGACCCAACACCACAGGATGGCCGGGGAAAACAAACGTTTTGTGACGCTTTGGAGCGTGCATCCCAAGGACGTCTCGAACGGGACCCCCGTTCCTGAACAAACCGAACAGCTGTCTCGGGCGCTCACGCGTCTCTGAGCGCACTGCCAGGAGGTCTCGAGCGGGAGCCCCCTTTTTTGTGGGGACCCCAGCTCATGTTGGCAATCCGATGCGGCCATCGGAGCACCACGCAAGAGCACATGTTTGGTGACACCCGGGGAGCCCGAATCCCGAGGAAGTCTCGAGCGGGAGCCTCGCTCATATCTCGGGAAGGAGCCCCGCCTCACGCTGATGATCCGAGGCGGCCCTTCGGAATAGTGGGAGCCTAGATTCCGAAGAAGTCTCAAGCGGAGGCCTCGTTCCTGAGCGCATTGGGAGGATGTCCCGGGCGCTCGTCCGTGAGTGAATCGCGAGGAAGTATCGAGTGGAAGCCTCGAGTGGAAGCCTCGTTCCTGAGCGCTTTGGGAGGATGTCCCGGGCGCTCCCCCGGGAGTGAATCGCGAGGAAGGCTCGAGCGGGGGCCTCTCCCTGCGGCCCCCCCGCTTCACGTTATGAATCCAGGGCGTCCATCGGGATTCCCTGTAAAATCGCAGGTTTGGTGACACCTGGGAGGCTGAATCTTCCGAACATCTCGAACGGGAGCTTCGGTCCTTTGTCGTCGGGTGTCCTTTGTAATCCCAGGCGGCCATCATCAATCAAGCTTGTAAAAGACCAGCAGATACCAGACAGGAAGAAAGCTCCTGTAGTCACAAGGACGACGATGAGGATTACTGGTCTAGACTCGTTTGGCAGATTCTCATGTGGGGTCCCACCGTAGGGGTATCGGTATGTTCGTGCTCGGTTTCAGGGGGCCCTCTCAGGCGTCGAGACCTCCAGGAATCCACGCTGTGGCCAAATCTATCGCGCCGCCGGGGCGGGGGGAGGCGGGGGGGGGGGAGGAGACATCCGTCCCCGCTGCACACGCATCGCTGATCGGGGCCCGGGGTGCGACTTCCTGCCTGAGAGCGCGCGGCCTCACTGAATTTCGGAGGCTCGTCGCCGATCTATCGGCGACGTGTGCCGCCCCACATGAGCCAGTCCCCTCCTCGAGCCCCCTGCAGATCCGACTTGGTGCGAGTCGATATGTGTGGAGTTTTCGCAGGCGCTGGACCGTTAGGGTGGCCGCTGCCTCTGAGTTCGGGCTCTTGAGATGCCCGTTACGGGCCCCATTTCCCACACAAGAGAACAAGCCCACAGCGGGAAATCCATGCAATAGACAGGGTCGAGAGCCATGAAGCCCTACGTGTTGACAGCTCAGGACGTCGGAGACATGGGTTCGATTAAAGCGATGTCTTCGCTTGCTCGATCCGAGTTGGTACAGTCGATTCGATTCCGAATGAAATCTCCGTGGGCCCCACAAAACGCAACGACTTGAGCATCTCAAATGGATATCTTGATACGATTGAGCTGTGGCCTGAAGGTCAAGGGCATCATACAGACGCTCATTGAGCGCCTCCTCCGGGAGTCCATCGACGAGGCCACCAAGCAGGGATTCTGCAACACGGAGCTCGGCGTTGCCAAGACGGATCGGAACTTCAGGTACAAGGACGTTATGAGGTTGAACACGGATATCCAAGGTCTCGAGCTCAAGAGGGACGAGCTCGACGCAGAAATTCAGGAGCTCGTCCCAGCTATCGCGGAGCTGACAACCGACCTGCAGAATGCGACTACGATGCGTGAGCAGCAACACGTGCAGAACATGGCGGATATCAAGACCGCGAAAGAGGGTCTGGAGGGTGTGACCCAGGCCATTGTTATCATCAAGACGTTCTACAGCCAGGCCGCGAAAGCGACGGCCCTGGTCCAGGCCTCGCCTGTGGACGAGGACACCTCTGGCCCAGGCTTCGCGGGCAACTACGGCGGCAAGCAGGTGGCCTCGCACGGCATAATCGGCATGCTTGAGGTGATCAAGACAGATTTCGAGCGTACCATCACGCATACCCAGGCGTCGGAGGAGGAAGCGCACGCGGAGTTCATCGAGTTCGAGAGGGCCTCCAAGACCGACATTAGCGGCAAGAGCAAGAAGGAGGACCTCGACAGGGAGGACCTCAAGACCACTCTGGCAGCGATCGTGGAGAAGATGTCCGCCCTCACCACCTCGCAGGGCCTCTTGGACGCCGCTCTGAAGAGGCTCACCGATCTGAAGCCCATGTGCACCGACTTCGGCCAGTCCTACTCCGACCGCGTGGCGAAACGCGAGGAGGAGATCGCGGCCCTGCGGCAAGCGATCTGCGCGCTGGCACCCGCTGACCCGAGCGTCGAGCCCCAGTGCCAGTGATCGCGCCCGGCGGCCGAGCCATCGCATCGCCGAGGGCGGCGCGCTTCCCAACCAGAGAGCATCCCTCCCTCCTTCCTCCCTCGTCCTCCCTCCTCCCCCCTCTCTCCTCCCTCTCTCCTCCCTCTCCTCCCTCCCTCTCTCCTCCCTCCCTCTCTCCTCCCTCTCTCCTCCCTTCCTCCCTCCTCCCTCCCTCCTCCCTCCCTCCCTCTCTCCTCTATCTCCTCTATCTCCTCCCTCCGCCATCCTCCCTCCCTCCCTCCCTCTCTCCCCTCGAGGAGGAGGAGGGAGGCAAGGGGGGGAAGTGGGGAGTGGGGAGGAGGAGGAGGAGGAGGAGGAGGAGGAGGAGGACGAAGAGGACGAGGATGAGGAGGAGGAGGCAGAGGGAGACGCATCCTCATCCGGCTCCTCCTTCTCTCTCTTCTTCTTACTCCTCTCCTTCTGCCTCCTCTGGTTCGTCCTCAGGGTTTCCGTGGGTGGTGCCGCAGCGATTCGAAGGTCCGTTTGGGCGCCCATATTCATGACGTCAGGAGCATTACCGACGCGCGCGGCGGCGTCCCAGACTTGTCGGAAACGCTGGGTGGCGTCAGCGCCCGATGGCCCGTGCACGGAGGCGACGAAGAAACCGTTGGCATCTCCGCGGCTGCGGGGCCGCGACGCTGGGATGAGGGCCTCGGCTCACCGAGCTTCTTCGGCGTAGGGCGCTGGTGGGGGGGGGGCCGTCGAGGCCCGAATTGCAGACGGCAGTCTGGGAGAGGATCCCAACTCCACCCTGTTTCGCGCACGTGGTGCGGATACAGTGGCCTGGCATCGCTCGGACGTGTGCATTTTTTCGGCGAGAACAATCGAGGACCATCCTGGACCATCGAGCAAACAAAAACACGCACGAAACCGAAACATGCACGGGAAACGGACGTCCGAGCGACGGCAAGGTGGTCGGTGCCCCCCGACCTGGCCGCGCGCGTGACCTGCTCTCGGCGCGAGGGGCAATCACTCCACATTGGTTCCCGGCCGCCGTTCTCAGTGGAACGCGCTGCGGAGTTGAAGGTGCTGATCCTATGGGTTGGGTGCCGGATCTCTTGGAGAGCGTCCACGGAGATCCCATGTTGATGGAGATGTTGGAGCGTGGCCCAGTCCGAGTCAAGGCTGGTGACATTGGCAATCACAAGATGTGTGAGTTTGGGGTCGTCTCCGTCGGCACTACGTGATTCAGCAGCAGAAAGGGAGAGGGAGAGGGAGAGGGAGAGATACATTTAGAGATAGAGATATGTACAAAGAGAGAGTCAAAACACAACAAAGCAATACACCACCAACAACAACGACAACAACAAAATCAACAGTAACAACAACAACGCCAACGCCAACAACAACGACACCAGCAACGCCAACACCACCAACATCAACAACAAGAACAACAGGTCACAGCAACAACAGGAGGAGGAGGAGGAAGCGTGGGAGGAGGACGATGAGCAGACGTATTGGAGTCCTTCTGGATCATCATGGGGGCATCCTTGGGGCCTCTGAGGGACCTCTTGGGGGCCTCTGGAGTCGTCTGCGGGCTCTCTTGGTCCGTCTGACGTCTTCGGAGGCCGTCTTGCGGACCTATTTGGGCCGCCTTGGTGTGCATCAAGGCCGTGTTGGGAGTCTCTTGGGCTGACTTGCGGCCTTCTTGGGGCGTATTGGGCCGCCGTGGTGATAGATTGGAGTCGTACAGTGCCGCGTCGGGCTCAGAAGACAGAAAGACGCCAAAAACACGTTCATACATGATGCCAATGGGGTCAGATTGGCAGCCTTTGGTCATCGTTGGGCAATGGTGGGCGCTGCTGGGGCCATCGTGGTCGTCTTTGGGGCGGCTTAAAGGTCATCATGGCAAATCGTCGCTGTCTTGGAGACCCTCGCGGGGCCATATTGGACGGAAAAGCCGACGGAACGTAACCAGTTTGCGGTCAGTTCCGGGTGACCCGCGGGTTGGGCCAAAGAGCCATCGATACGGGGCCCAAGGGTATACACCACCACCACCTCCCCACCTCCCTCATCCCCTCCCTCTTCCAGGGAAGAGGAGAGGAAGATGAGGGTGGAGAAAGAGCTTGTGGGAGACCTTGGGGGCTTGCCAGCTGTCTCGTGGTCCATCCTGGAGTTGAGGGTTGCAAATATCACTTCGAGTTCCCCCCCCCTCGTGGCTGGTGCTTTCTGTCCTCTGGCATCAGGTTGAATCCTCCTGTGTGGCATCGGCCTTCACTCCCCTCAATCGGGGTTGCGGATCTGCATCGTGATCTCTCTTCTCACTCTGCCCCTGATGCGAGCGGCTCGCGCGTGAGATAACACCGTGCTGATGGGACTGCTCTCGTGGGAAGAACGTCACTCCGAGTTCCCCCCCTTGGCATTCTGGGGGTCTCGGGGGCATCTCTCGCGAGCCTCGGAGGCCCTCTCGGACGGGCACTGGGGCCCCCTCGGCAGCATTGTTGGAATCCTTGGAGACAACAAACAGAGTTGGGGCCTCTTCGGCCAGCCCGGAGGGTCTCCAAGACTGCGCGAGGGGTTCCCAGGGAGCAGCACGACGGCTCGCCGGGGCGGCCGAGGATTCTTCCGCGTGTCTGGAATTTCTTGGGAGAGTTGGGCGGCAAGCGCCCGGAAGAGTCCAAGAGCGCCCATGATATTCTGCAAAAAGTGGTGGCCCGCGCGCCTAAAGATGTGTTCCGACGTTCTTGCAGTCACGCATGTGTCAGCCTTTGGGCACTCGACTACTTGCTGGAACCACGATGACTGATTGAGCTGGAGCAGCGAGAAGCCCTCCCCAATGAGGAATTGACGGGGCTGGAGCACAGAGAATCCGCTAAGCCAACTACTCCCAGAGGTCTGGTGGCATTGGTGGTAGGCCGACCGCGATTGCAATGAGCCGGGTGTTGCTTTGATATGGTAAGCGATCCTGCATACCGTCGATTCCCGTGCCGAAGAGTTTGATATTGGCGCGCCATCCACCACGGTGACGAGCACGTATGTTAGGACAGTTGGTTTCCGAGACGCAGCGGTGCTACCACACGCTTTCGTGCAAGTGCTTCGTGTGCCTCCTCACGTCTGGCAGGGCACTTGCAGCGCACTTTAGGCGTTGGCTGCTGAGTGCACTCTGCGGTTCCATACGTGGCCATGTTGCTCACGCTCTTCTGCTCGAGGGCTTCGGCACAGGGCTTCTCGGCATTCTCGCCCTGGGCACGTACGTACCAGAATTGCACGCCATGCGCAGCCTCAGGATGCATTGAACCCTGTTCCCCAAAGAGTGTTTGCACTTATGGGTTCTTACTATTGTTTTAATGTTCTAAGGAACTGGGCTGTGTCTTTGGTCTTGCGGGTATGTGGCCGCCGTCGCCGCCCCGTCGCCGCCTCGTCGCCGTTCGTCGTCTGGGCCGTGTCTTCGGTCTGGCGACTTGCAGCAGCATTTGGAGCTGCATGTCGGATTCCAGCAGCACGTGCGTTAGCAGCAGGTCGGCCCCCCACAACACCATTGTGAGCAGTACGAGGACTCAAGCTGCACGACGGACTTTAGCAGCCTGACCGGGAGTAGCAAGTAGAACTCCAGAACCACCATCGTGAGCGGGGCATGATGGACTCCAGCAGCACGGACGGCTGCAGATGGCGGAATTCAGCCGTCCGTGGGCAGCACGACGGGCTCCAGAAGCAGCATCGTGGGCATCGACGGACTCCAGCAACACGACCGTGAGCCGCAGGACGGACTCCAGCAGCACCATCGCGAGCAGCACGACGCTTCCCTGCAACGCGGCCGTGAGCAGCATGACGGATTCCAACAGGGTGGCCGTGAGCAGCACGGTGGGCTCCAGCAGCGGCACCTGGAGCAGCACGGTAGGCTCCAGCAGCACGACCGTGAGCAATACGGTCGGACTCCTAGAATACCGTCGTGAGCAGCATGTCGGTCGCCAGCAGCACCACCGTGAGCAGCACGTCGGACTCCAGCAGGACAACCGTGGGCAACGCGACGGACCCCAGCGGTAGCATCGCGAGCAGCACGACGAACTTCAGCTGCACGATCGTGAGCCGCGCGACGGACTCCAGCGGCAGCATTGCGAGCAGCACTACGGACTCCACCAGCGGTACCATGAGCAGCACGACGGACTCCAGCAACACCACCGTGAGCGGCACGGCGGACTCCAGCAGCGCGACTGGGAGCAGCATGACAGTTACCAGCAGCAGCATCATGAAGAGCACGGCGCACTCCAGCACCACGACCGGACCAGCAAGACGGACTCCTGCCACATTGTGGGCGCCTCTGGCCCTCGGCGGGTAGCTGTCAGAGCTGGCCCGGCGGCGGATCCGCCGGCTGGAGGATCAAGGAATTCGGACTGGGATGTCCAAGGTCTGGGTTCCGAATGGGCGACACCCGCGGCACGCGCTCCCCTGGAGTTCTCATGAACGACCCCACGGCGGCCACCATTGCGCTTAGAGGCGGCAGCGATGTCCCCACGGGGCCACATGGCGTGAGCTCGGCGTCGTCTGGGATGCTGTGCGAATCCGGAGTGGCCCTCCCAGGTCGCTTCGCGGAAAAGGCGGCGACCGCGGCAGTTTGTGCACAAGTCTGTGCGACGATCAGTCGCTTGCATAGGTCGAGTTCGCCTGTCCTTGCTGTCCTCCGAGGCGCGCCTGGTGAATACGCCGTTTCGGGTCCCCTCACCCCTGAGAGCGGGCGCGGTTTGCGCGGACTCATTCCCGCCAATGGCGTGCGCCCCAACGATTCCGAGAATGGGGATGATGGGGTGGCAACCTTGCGGGCACCTGTGCGACGGTCACGGCGCTCTGCTCACCCCTGTGCTCATTTGGCACCATGCACGTAGACCTGTGCCTGCACCGATCAGGTGCGTCTATCGCGTGCGCGTTACCCACCCCAGCTGGCGCGCCTACCCTCCTCTCCTCCCTCCTCCGAGTGCGTCCACCCCCCCTTGTGGGTTCACCTCCTCCCTGTTGGAGCGCCTACCCCCACCCAGGCAGTGCTTTGGCTGCGATACACAATTGTGTGCACTGATCATCAAGGGAGGGGAAACCACCCGGACCCGACATTTTGCGTTTAATAAACAGCCCTAGGCGTTTACTAAACAGCCCTGCCCTGTTCGATTCCGTCTGTGGGCGCGTTTACTAAACGGCTTCGCTTGTCAGGATGATTGGTATGGGGGTGGATTTTCTGGCCTCTAGATCAGGTGCGTTGTATCTGGGCTCGATGGCTGACCCATATCCGTACAAGAGCGTGCACCGATCAGGCGCGTTGAACCTGGAACTTGGGGCGCGGGGCGCGCGGTTAACCTTACGCGGCCGCCGCGCCCCTGGGCCGCCGCACCGACTGGTGGCCGGGAGGCGCTGGGGTGTGGTGGTCGCCCTCCCCGCCTGGTGCTCCCGGCGCCGCCTCCCGTCAGCCGTGCTCCCTGGGAGGAGGCATGCGGTTGATCAAGTACGCATGTTGTGTCCCAACCGCTATTGTGTTGGCTGCTCGTTTTGAGTCGACCATTGCTGTCCCTTCCTCCTCATCCCACCCTCTTCCACGCCCCTCCCCTCCCACATCCTGCCTCCTACCTCTTATCTCCTACCTCCCAGCTGTATTCTAGGCGCTGGCAACTGCT